AATCAGCCGGGGCGTCTGCTGCAGTGGCATCGACCCCCCGGTCCGACCCAACCTGAGGACACCCGCTGTGCACAGGGGCCATCTGACTCACACCCACAGTTATAATGTCGAGGCACAGTTGAAGATGTGAAGTGAACTCTATTTTAATATAGTGTTGATTTAATCAGCGTAACCCATATGCTGATTCAATCAACACTATATTAAAACAGATTGAAATTGTCTTCCACCATCTCATATCAAATTACTGAACTGTGGTTACCAATGGTTCAATATTAAACTCGTGTTGTTTCTTGACTCATTCATTTGAACACAATTCTATTAAGGATCTCTGTATGATTTCCACTGAAAACAATATCACTAAATTATCGCTCGGCCTTTGTTTCAGTTGTTCAAAACATGACATGTTTTCAGAATCTGTAATAACACTGCCTGTTTGTTTCTCTCCCTGTTTTCTTAAGTCGATCATCTTCAAGTGGAATGAAGACCTGTCGGAGGCCGACTCTTTGTCGAGGTGTGTCTTTCAGATGTTACACTTATCTTAAGTATAGGATAATTACTTGATTATCTTTTACACAAAGGTTTCTTTGTTTTTAATTAGTCATCTGTAGAGTCGGTTTATTCCATCCTGAATCAGTTATGATGTCCATGGAACACATCTGTTCCTAATACATGTCTTGTTATCTTTACTTTTTTTGTAATTCATTTATTTGCACAAATTAAAAGACAGAACGAAAGCTTTGAAATATTCACGACACTCTGTCGACGAAAACTCTGTCGTGAATATTCCTTGATATTAAAATTTCTCAAAATTGGAGAATGCAGATTAACTTTCAGGAAATCGTGACTAACTATCGGAGTCAGAAAACTAATAACGTGTGTATAATAAAAACAAGAACAATCGTATTTATATTGAGATAAAGGAGAAAAATGTGTGATTTATATAAACCAGTGTGAAATAAGCTTTGGTCCAACAGCTTGTTTTTCATCCACTTGATTTGATGAACGACTTATCACCACATTCAACACACTAATACGTTTCATGTCTTTATGCAAAATTGCGACATATTGTGAAAATTGGACCGCTGAGTCATTTTCATTATCTGCACAGCTGCTCGTCTTTTATATGAATCTGGTAAATTAACTTATTTATACCTGGAGTTTTTCATTACACTCCTGCATCGTGAATGAAGACGTGAGTGTTTACTTGGAAACACTGGACACTGACCAAATCTATTTTTGACTTTCTCAAACATTTCCTGCGTTATGTTTATGGTGTTTTAGAGCCGCTGGGGTGTGACAGTGATGAGTTGCACCATTAGTCAGGTTGCTGATTGCAGTGGCACAGCGGACCTGTCCTGACAACCTGTGGTGACACACCAATGTGCACAGGGGCCATCTGAGTCACCCCCACCCCCCCACCTGACAGGAGAAAACAGTTTAGCAGTGGCACATTTCTTCACTAACCATTCTGTATTTTCCGTGTGTTTTTGTTCTGCTCTTTCTCTCCCAGCCTGAAGGAAGGACAGTTCAAAGATGTGGTTATGGAGGCTGTTTGAGCCTTTGTGAACACGCTGAACAAAATGTATCCTGCCCCCGCAAACGCTTTATCTTCATGATGGATGGAATAAACCGACTCAACCTGAGAGCTGGTGAGGAAGAATTCACACACAAGTTTGTTTTATTATGAAGAGTAAATCTTTTCTCTTCCCAGTTTGTCCTATTCTCTGCATTGTCCTTGCTTTTTTTAAAAATAAATAAAAACTCCGGTCACAAGTGGTCAGCACTAAGTTCACCTGTGAATTCATCCTGACATCTGATCACTCAGACCATGTATGAAGGGGGTGTGGCCACGTTCTTATAGCAAATACTTCCTGGGCCACATCTGAAGAACTCGTTTTTAACAATTCTCAGGCCCATGCGTTGATTTGTTTGTAACTGCTGCTGTATTAGCACTGACCACCACATATTGATTTCATTTTCCCTTCAAATGGATAAAAAATCCTGTTCCATGGTAGAGCTGCACATTGATTCACTCACTCCTCTCTCTCTTGCACTGTCATAACGGATGCATCTGTATACTCAGACTGGCTAAAACATAATTTGGGCTTGGTGCAGAGACATTTCTACCAACAATTGGACACGTACATGGCTTTAATATTTGACGTTCTGTCAATCTGTCCTTTCTTATTTTGTAATTATGCTTCAGTAGATCCATTTAGTTTTTTAACAGTCCTTCCAGCTGATGAACGTTGGTGCCCTCTTTGTTCCTTTGTGACCAGAGCAGCCTGAAAACAGAGCTCTGCACAATACTAGTTATTTTATCTTTGAACTGTTTGAGGGTTAGGAGTGCGTTTGAGCATTCAGCCAAGATGGTGGCTACAGGGACAGGAGAGTTCAGCTTCTTCTTAAAAACAAATTCTTTACCAAAACAATCAGACACCGAGAGAATTGGGTTCGGTGTTTTTAAGACGGAGTACCTTTCATTCTCATAAACTTGCACACACAGTGCAGACACCACAAAAAAAGTTTAAGGGTTCTGTGTCAGACCCACAGAGTTTGAGCAGTTGAGTCCTAAATTTAAAAACCGAAGGGAGAGAAATGTAGAAAAATGCTTGCGTGATTTGTAAATGGTCCAAAAATCCCCATTGAGTCGGACAACAGTGAATGCATCAGTGCACGTAACAGATTGTTGCAGTCACTGGCTGTGTAATGCAGCCAAACCATGTGGAAAATGAATCATAGGTTTTATTCAGAAAGACCATGTTTCAGTGTGTTTGATGGCAGAGACGCTCAGATACTTGTATTTGGTAATAAACCATGTGAAGGTGTTTTTATTGAGGCGCTGGAGGCTTTTGCTTTATTTCCAGAACATTCATTTGTTTCTCATTGTTTCCCTTTATCATTTAACTGCTTCCCGAACAGGCAATTGCTCTTTTGGTCACTAATGACCCAGTTAAAATTCAGTCCAGCTTTGATCAGTGGCCCACTTGATAGTTTTTCTTTTTGGGGGGGGGGGGGGGAACAAAAACTGCCCATAATAGCTTTTCTTTTAATGCAGTTTCCTTTTTGTCCCAATTACAAATTTCTGCTGTCCCCCTCCCCAATTTTCAATATCAGGAACTGTTTCAGTGTCATGTCAGGAACTCACTCTGAAGAAATGCCAACCTGTCTTCTCATTTTCTTCACCAGAGGAGCTTGTCAGGAGCGATGGTGAACGACATCAGCGTCATCCTCAGCATGAGCACAAATACACGACCGCTGCGTTCCTTCAGGAGACACGTTGAAGCCCTGCAGCTGTGTTATCATCTTAATCCTGGTGAGACACACAGGAGGAAGTCCAGCACCATATTTATTACTTCAAATAAACTTTCACTACCACAATATAAAGGCAACGAGCGTATTTTGAAAAATGTAACCATGTAATTGTCACCAATTCTGACTTTATTAAACAGATTGTGTTAAACAGACTCGATTGTAAAGATTCATTTTTTGAACGACAGCTTTTTGTGATGCATTCAAAAGGTTTCCAAGGTTTTTTAATCATTCATTCATCTGTCTAATACTCTTTTTCAACTTTTCCTATAAAACTAATTCTGAAAAGCACAATTTACCCATATAGTCACTGATACTTGGCTACAGTGTGATCACAGTTACATTTTTCAACAGGCACGTCACTGTTAACTCTTCATATTTTGACTTTATGCAACCGTAAATGTGTCCTGCAGAATAATTTATAAAAATAATTCCACAAGGTGTGAAATGTGCCACTATATTTATGGATTTTGATTTAAGAATCACTATATGAGTTTGAGGCAGACAGACTTTTAATTCTGAAATGAAAAAAACAGGACTCTATAGACCGACCTGTCTGGATGAGCCGCTGCCTCCAGCGGTGAGCAGCCCTCAAACCAGTAAAAAGAACAGTTCTGCCTGTGCAGCATGTTAGTATCCACCAGGTGGCAGTTGAACATCAGTCTTTCTCACAAATGTGGCCACGCTGCCGGCTCAGTCACGTGTGTAATCGGGCAGCATACATATATCACTGGATTCATTCTGTTACACAAACACAGGGGCGCCTGAAGGCACCACACAAACACGTGTGACTCCTGCAGGGATCGGCCTCAGAGGCAGTTTCACACCAAAATCTTTAGATTCCAATTCTAAAATCTGCAGTTTGAATATTTACATTCTGCTCACACATTAGCATAGTTAAGATGTTGTCTCACTAAAGTCTACTGGTCAACGAAGAAACCTCTGCTTGAGTAACCTTTGCTCCTCAGGATGTGAGGGATTCCTTCTGGATGTAAACAAACATCTAAAGTCCAGAGTTTTACGCACACAAATAAGTATTTAACTGTTATAACATCGTTTTCTTCTGCATGTGTATTAGCACAGTGCAGTTGTGCTACAACACGTAAGACTTAAATATAACATTATAAAATACGACGCCAAGCCATCAGATGCATCTACCCACAGTTCACAGCCTCAACAAAGTAGAAAAAAGTTAATGTCCCTGACTTTTGAAAGAACCTTCATCAGTTCAGATATGTTGGATAATTTGATTTATGGTGGTAGTTGACAGAGCCACACGCTCGTCTGTTAAGGTTGTGTTCAATCTATTGTCCTAGTTGATATTGTAATGTGAAAATGTAGTTCTCAAACAAGAAGGGCACTCTCGGTAATGATTCATCCCTCCACAGAAATTAAAATCAGTTCAGTATTTCGTGCATACTCCTGTTGAGTAACCTACAATTTTAAAATGACGTCCTTGGCAGAACTGCTAATAACTCTGGTTTTTGTTCTCGGTGTTCTTGATTCTTTTAGTCCTGCTGCTTTCAGCCAGTACAGATAAACAACATTTTCACTGAATGGAGAATGCATCAAAGACCCGGCTCTTATTTGTGGATGTTTTAATACCTGTGTGGCCGTTTTCACCTGGAGACAGCAGCAACGTTTCCTCTGACATCAAAGCTGTGATCACTGAGTGAGATCTTACCTGTTGTTGTCCTGTGCTTCTCTCCTCAAAGGAATCAAAGGTGTTGCTCTGGTACTATGTGTTGTTTTTTGTTTTTTATCTCTTTAACTGCGGTAAACACTGATTTATAATATTCACTGTGTAACTTTACCAGGTTCTGCCAAGATTATTTCGTGTCTGAAGTGAAGGACGCTCAATGACTTCATGTGATGTAGAACAAGTGACAAATCAATTATTCATGTTGTTATTTGGGAGCCGGGTGGTTGTTGACGTCAGACCAATGTCTTCAACGTTACAGAGCTCGGAGCACGATGGTCGTCGTGTTTAACACCAGATAACTTGTTTACTTTCTCAAACAAACCAAACAGTGTCAGTCGGAGACAAACACTTCCCTTCGTCTGGGCAACTTTTCTGTCAGACCGAACCCGACTGTACGAGACTGAACCCTGACACCACTTGGTTGTGTTTGCTGAGGTGAAATGTTTTGGTCAAAGATGTTTTCAGTCTCTTGTTCTGGATGATGTACGTCTGTTCACTGAGGTGTGTTCCTTCAGGTTTTTCTTTGACTGACTGACAATAGCCGTCCTCCTCTTTACTCGCCGTCTATTTTCTTGAACCATTTTAAACTGTAGAAATGGAAGAATTCAAAATTGTACCTCAGTAAAGTGTGAAACATTATTGTTCAGTATTAAAGTAAAAATACCAGGCTGCAGGTTTACAGGCAAGATTGCGTGGTGGAATGATGCATTATGGGTCAGTGAAGAACATATTTTGGTGCAAATCTGAGCGGTTTTCCAACGTTTTCTCAGAGAATAATTCGTGGATCTTGACGGAAAATGAACAGTCATGTTCAAGGGACTGATATCTGTGAATGTTTGCAACCAGGTGCAGAAATTAAAAGTGCAGGTCTAGTGAATTTGAATGTGGTTGCATGAGGAGGCTGTTGGGCCTCAGCACAGGTTGTGTCATCCTAGTTGTCCTTGATACATGAATACACTGATTTCTAGCAGGAGACATTCAGTGAAACAATATCAGATGTAAAAGACGACAGAATTTTGAAGATGATGCAAAAACTTCACTCACCTTTTGCACAAAGACGATTTTCCACTGACATGAGCTGAATTCCTCTTTGAGCGAGAGAATATAAGTTGGTTTTCTTTATTTGGCTTTGTGTCATCTACATTAGCTGTTGGCAGAATTGTTCATCGCTGAATTTGTCCATTTAATGTAATTTACAAAGCAGAAAAACACCATTCGTTGCTTTTCACACTTTCCCACGAGGGATTTAAAATAGGGAGTTTTTTCTTCCTCTGTCTCTCGTCTCTTCTGCTTCTCTGTCCCTGCAGAAAACTGTGACTCAGGGTTGTGATTGACAGGAGTGCAGTGAGCGATCATAGAGAACACAGCGACTAGACTTTGACCGGAGGCAGCTCTTGTTTTGCTTTTAACTGATCTCATGAGGGAGATGAGGAGCATCCAGCTGCCCACAGATGTTTGCTCAGTATTTGGGCGCAGGTACAGGCAGCACCCAAGAGGGAAAATCAGAGATGGGGCTTCTCTTAGGAGAGATAAATATGTTTGTGCAGCCCGAGGAGGCCCGTTAGTCCTGCGAGTGTCCAGAGGGAGCTGCACCCTCCACGCTGCTCAGATCACACGTGTTCACGTCGCTGTGCAGATGCCGATCAAAGGCTGGTTTCGTATCAACGGCTGAGATCACTTGTCTGTGTTACCGGGTCATGTTGATTTATTCAGCAGCTGAAAATGACTGATCAGGGAGGACGTGGAGGACCTCAGTGAGATGTGTACATGAATAAATAACACGTTGGTCAGTGGTCATAGGAAGCAGCTCGAAGTCAATTCATAGAAAGAGATGAAGAAAAAAATAATTGGTCCCAGTTGGTCCAATAGGTTTTGATCGCTAATGAAATATTTCCGTTTTCTTCAGGGGAGTAATTTGAGTTAGTCCCGTCCCCCGTCCCCCCCCCCCCCCCCCCCCCCCCCCCCCCCAAAAGAAGTAGAGAACCCGGCGAGTAAAGATTTTCCTCAAGTGATATATTAGTGGATAAATATATTAAAAAAGATTAACCAAGGCTTTTTCTTTAACAATGAATTCTATTGTAAACTAAAAACAAAAGAAATGCAAACCAAATGCGTCGACTATAAAATGATTTGTTTCTTCTGATTCGAATCAGAGCTGCTGCAGATGAGTTTTTATTTGTCATTGTTGCGGTTCTGTCCTCGGTGCAGTCGTCTATGAACGTCTGAATGTTTTAGTCTTTTATACAAAGCCTACATTTCAATGTCTTTGGCACCAATGACACATTCAATATTTTCAAGTGTCAGTCACTTAACATTGTCTGTGCTGAAAGTGTTTGTGGTTCCTGAGACGCCTGAATATCTCCCCTCTCTCTTCACAACATTTGAGAACACGTTCACAATTCAATTTGAAGCTGCCTCTTATTTTCTGAAGCTGCTGCATGTTCTTGTAACACTGGATTTAGATAAGGAGCAGTTTCATACACTTCATTGTCACCGGAAGCGTCTCCTCACGTCTCTTTCCAACGTTCACTTTGTGTCTGATCTGACGCAGCTGTGCTTGTGAAAATACCTGCGAGGCTCCTGCAAGAGTGTTTATCCACCGGTGTTTCTCTATATACATGTAAATGTTAAAAAAAAATGACGGGGATAGATTGTGATGCTAATGAACCGAACTGCTCCTCGAAATATTTCTGTATTTACTCAAGAGCCATGACTGTCAGTCTGCAAAAAGACATGAATAATACACGGATGAATTTGACTGAAAAACTGTTCTGTACAAAGTGAGACTGATACAAGTGGATCTTCTGCTTTTTTACCTCCAAGGATTTTTTATTGCTGTTTGTTTGCAGAATTCCACAAAATCTGCTCAGCCAATTTACTTGACACTTGGTGGAGACGGGTTCAAGGAGGAACTCATTCATTTCATTTCATAGACTGGATCCAGTAAAAAAAATTTTGTTCCTCGTTACAAACGGTCTGAGGCATGTTTTTCGGGTTTTGTCCCATTCTTGTGAACTTGATACTTTTGCGCCTTTTCGAGAATTTCTTCATAATTGGTTCAAACATTCACTCGGAGTCAAAAATTGAACAGATGAAACTCTGGTGGTCTAACGTCAGGATCGTGGTGACGTCGCTCACTCACTTGTTTCACCTCGACAGTCCTTTCATCAAGTTCTGCACAAATGTTCACTTAGACTCACTGATTAGTTTCAAGGTCACTTCATATGAATGTGAATGCAGGAACATCTGGAGTTTAACGTTGCAAAATTGGTTCAGGGGTTGATTTAATTACTGTACGGTAACAAAGTAGGAACCTTTGAAACATTTGCTTATATCTCAATGTGTTGATATTCACTTTTTGATTTTCAAGTTGCCTGACATTTTATATGAACTCCCAACTCTTACACAATAGATATTTGGCCTATGTATGTATTTTATCTCAAAATGCGTCAA